CCCAGGCAGCCCCCAAATCCCTGCCCTGGGAGGCACGTTTACCTCCCGCTCGGGCAGCTCCCGCTTGCCTCTGCAGAGTCCCGGGTACAACAGGGACTAGCTCCTCAGCAGCGCCCTTCTGCCCTGCCCGGCCCCGGCAGGGAGAGGAAACCTGCGGGCTGCCCTGCTGCTCCTCTGAGCCAGCAGCTCCCCAGGGCAGGAACCCTTCCCTTTGCTCCCCCACCTGGCCCGGGGCACATGGAGCTCAGCCCTCGGGGCCGCCCTGCCCCCGTCCCATCCATCATGTAACTAGTGCTTCAGCTGAGACAGTGGCCACGCAGGGCTTCCCCATGCTCTGGGAGAGGAAACTGCCTCCTGCTTCGGCTGACCACCGCGGCCTCTCCACAGCTTTTCCTGTTCTCCATAACTTGCTTGCTCCCAGCACCAGACCCAGTGCGGTGAGACCCAGCCAGGCCCTCGCCAGCCAGGGCAGGAACAGGTAGGCTGTTGGGGAGCACAGACACGGCAGGGGCAGTTTTAGTATGTTCACGGGGGTGGGGAGGAGATCGCAAGCCAGAAGGCAGCTGCACAGTCTCTCCTCCTCCGTGAAACGTTAAAGGCACAGCAAGTGGAGGGCAAGGCTGGAAGGAGTTTCTAGGCAAGGGACACAGTGGGTACCAGCAGCTGTGGCACAGCATGCAAGCCTCCTGGCTCTACCCCTCCCTACAGTCATGGCACTGAGCCTCTCTGCCCTCCCTCCTCAGTCTCCTTGCTCATGCCAGACAAGTGCAGCCAGCAGTAAGACGAGAGGTTTCCCAATACTGCCGGTTTTCAATCCCAGCACGTGGGTGCGGGGCAGAAGTGCTGTTTGCAGCAGGTTATCCTCCCTCCCCCACATTCTTCCCAGCTCCTTCTTCAGCAGTGATCAGGGGACAAGGCAAATGGGACAGAAAGAGGCACCTGAGTCTCCTTTCTTGCTGGAAGAAGCTGACAGCAAATGCCAGTGAATAGACAGGCAGGACCCAGGTCTTGTCTAATGCCTGGACACCCTGCCTCCAGTGACAAGAGGACGATGGCCAGGGGACAGGGAATATCATGCCAGCAGAGCTGGGCAGCTGCACAAACACCAGTGCATGCTCACACCAACTTCTGAGCTGTGGGCAGGAGCCCAAGGCTTGCTTCCTGCTGGCCACCCCTCCATGCACAAGCAGCCTTCACTCCTAGGACAGTGCTCTCACCTTGCTTGCCCCAGGCTCCCCCTAAGAGCTGCCCATGTGCTGGCACCCCACTCCTCCAAGATACTCTCTTTGTAGGACTATGGCTCAGCCTGGTTGGCCTTCACTCTTTATGGTTCAGTGAGTGTCAGGTGAGCAGTTAATGTTTAGGGACAGCTGGCAGTGGGAACTTCAGCATCACATCAGCATGTTTCCTCCAGCCCTGCAAGCACAGAGGAGAGCAGCCCTGTTTTCCCATAGCACCAGTTGTCAGCAAGGCCCATGGCAGGGTGGGCGTCTTAACCTGTTGTCTCTTCTAGAGCTAATGTGCACCTGCAGAGGGATGCTGAGGCACAGCTAGACTGCAGGTCCCAGGGCAGTGGCCCAGAGGGGAACAGGGACAGCTCCAGGCTTGCTGTCCCTCTACTGCCTCCCCTCCAGGCATTGCAAGTCAAGAGGTGGCCTGGCTGTTCCCCATAAAGAGCTGCAGGACAGCCAGCAGAGGAGTGACTTCATGGAGCCATGCTGCCTGTTGTCTTACCTAGCTGTAGGCAACAGAAACTGCAAATCCTTCTCCCCTGTCTCATTTTTGGAACAGCAACAGTTTAGCTGACCTGCTTAGACTCCCT